TGGAAGATTCTGCAAGGAAAAATAATCTTAATTCAAATAATGTATTTGATACCTTTATTCATTTATTGTGGAATTCTGTTGTCATATTTACTGTATGTATTTAATTATCAGGACTCAGTGGAAAAGGACAGGAGGATCAGGGAGCTCTCTGCCTCTCATGATAATGACATGCAGAAGATGGAGACTCAGTTGTGCTCCACTCGCTTACAGCTGGTCTCCGTCAGAGCAGAGTAAGTCTGACCAGTACAGGCAGCATGTCATGTAACACTAACTAACACAAACACTAAACAGGAGAGTTGTGGTAATAACTGCAACCAGTCACAATTTCAGTTTCATAAATTCATTTGCACAGTTTCCAATTTGTATGATTGACACAGTCCATGAACACACTGTAACATATGTGCTCCATGTTTTTACAGACTGGTTGATGCTCATAAGGAACTGGATGAGACAAAGAGCAAATCAGCAACTACTCTGCTGGCCACTGAAGATGAAATATTACAACTGAAAGCTGAGTGTGTGATACAGTCTAATACTAGAACAATACAGTAATTTGTGAGACAATATGTGATACTGATGCAGAGTGTGTCTGTGTTTCAGTTTGCGAGCCGCACATGAGCAGGTGGAGATTTACAAGAGGAAGCTGGGGGCTCTTGATGACTGTGAGCGTCAGATTCGCCTCCTGAGAGATGAAGTGTCCTACCTGAGCACGGAGAAGGCCTTGCTGCAGGAGAGGTACTCACATGCACCCAGTGCAATTATGCAGATACTGTACATTTCCACACACACTGTCACCACTACACAGAACAGTGTCCTCCTTTCCCCCCCCTTCAGGCTGGTGAGAAGTCGTTCTCCGAGCCCTTTGCCCAGACTCAGCCGCTCCTCCAGCCCCATGAGGAGTGAGTCACCCACCAGAGCCCAGCTCACTAACTCCTCCCGCCATGCACGTCTCGTGTCTCGCTTCAGTGACCTGTATGCTGTGGAGCGTCAGGAGGCCCAGAGCCTGCTTCGACGCTACATAGCTGATTTAGAGATGGTCCAGAAAATCATCTTCATTGCTGTAGTGGTACGGTCGTAATTAATTTAGGGCCCGAAAGTTAAATATGAAGGGTTGTGTTTGATTGTCTGTTGCTGTGCATGTCTTTCTGTGATTTATCTCTTAGGAATCGTTCAAGACAGCAAAACTAGCTTACCGCCAGTTCAAGCTGCGTGTAAGAAAGACCTTGTCCCCATCCCACTTTGGACCAGAAAGTCTGGAAGACGCAGCCGTGGACTACATTGTCAGAAACTTGGACCTATATGATGTACAGGACAGCGTCAATGTAAGTTTAAATTTGTCTCTGATTAGTCCTCTTGACATTTAACAAAATTCTGTGGGTATGACTGTGTTGTTTCCTCTCCCCAGGGCGTGATCAATGCCATGAATGTGAATCCACGCATCTCCTTCCCACCAGAAGTGGACTTTGTCCTCATCAGTGCATTGATCAGGGAGACATGCAGGGTGGCCTTCGCCATGCAGACTCTGGACCCCGCGCTTGACTTGGCCTTTGCCAGTGATGGAGAACTTTACAGTGACATTAAGTCAGTCCATTGCACAACGCTGTGTCTAAACCTTATATCAAAGCTGCGAAACAACATTCATACAGTGTTTGATTTACTTATTACCACACTACCAAGCAGTTTACAACAGCACCTTTGTACTACAGCATATCACTTGTGTCAGTTGATGTCGTTACCAGTAGATGTCACTCTTGTCACACACACACGCGCACACACACACACACACACACACACACA